CGGGCAGCACGGTGGCGCAACTGGAAGAGCTGCTGCCTCTCAGCGAGCAGGTCCTTGGTTCAAACCCCGTTCCAGGGGCCCTTCTGGGTGGAGTTTGCATGTTCTCTCCGTGCATGCGTGGGTTTTCTCCGGGTACTCCAGTTTCCTCCCACAGACCAAAAACATGCATGTTAGGCTGATTGGTAACTCTAAATTGTCCCTAGGTGTGAGTGAAAGAGTGAATGGTTGTTTGTCTCGTTTGTCTCCATGCGGCCCTGTGATGGACTTGCGACTCGTCCAGGGTGTACCCCGCCCCTCGCACAGTGATTGCTGGACATGGGCACCGGTGACCCCCGTGACCCAAAATGGAATAAGCGGGTAAAGATGATGGATGGATGGATGGATGGATGGTTATAAAATCAATTTTCATTGAGTGTGGTTTACTACAAGTCTTATCAGAAATGTTGTTGCTATGTAAAGTAAAAATAGTTTTCTGCATCTTTGCTGTGTAGACAGTCTGGCCACTGAAAAACATCCCATAAAATAAAATAGTTGTCAGCTATTCAACAGTAGAGCAAAGCTGTGAGAGGGGCCATGGATTGGTGAATTCCATATTTTATTGGTGTTTTGCTTTTAAGCTTGGTTTGATCACTTTGTTGTTAGTGTCAGCACATGCACAAGACAAGAAAATAATTTTGATTTCGGAACAAGTGCTAATCCAGCCAGTGTGCTCAATTTGGAACACAAAAATACTTATTACAGTAGGTTTTAAGGACTCAGTTGAACACTAGAAGGTACCTCAGAGAGGAACGCTCGTGCTGGGCTGCTGGCCCGACTGCGACTGAGGAATGTTGGCTTGACAGAAAGGAGCTCGGGTTTGTCCCCACTGATCTGGAGTGGTCGGATAAACTCGGATATCAAAGATCTGCTTGTTGGAGCCTCATTTCCTGTGGAACAACACAAAATAACAGAACTGATAAAATGCATTTCCTGTAACAACAGACACTTTTTCACATGTACATTCTGTTTACCTGTTAATGATATCAACAAAATATGTAAACTTTATCATTATTCTGACAACTGTGACATTTTACTGCTGATTAAACCAAGCAGCTTCTAAAAGATTTCTCATGTCATTGGCAGAGAACTGATTCATCCTCTGATGAACACACATAAACATATTATATTTACTAACAGATGTATGTATATACGTATGTATGTATGTATGTATGTATGTATGTATGTATGTATGTATGTATGTATGTATGTATGTATGTATGTATGTATGTATGTATGTATGTATGTATGTATGTATGTTTGTATGTTTGTATGTATGTATGTATGTATGTGCTGGTCATAAAATTTAAATATGAAAAAGTTGATTTATTTCAGTAATTCCATTCAAAAAGTGAAACTTGTATATTATATTCATTCATTACACACAGACTGATATAATTCAAATGTTTATTTTTTTTAATGTTGATGATTATAACTGACAACTAATGAAAACCCCAAATTTAGTATCTCAGAAAATGAGAATATTGTGAAAAGGTTCAATATTGAAGACACCTGGTGCCACACACTAATCTGTTAATTAACTCAAAACACTTGCAAAGGCCTTTAAATGGTCTCAGTCTAGTTCTGTAGGCCACACAATCATGGGGAAGACTGTTGACTTGACAGTTGTCCAAAAGACAGCCATTGACACCTTGCACAAGGAGGGCAAGACACAAAATGTCATTGCTAAAGAGACTGGCTGTTCACAGAGCTCTGTGTCCAAGCACATTAATAGAGAGGCAAAGGGAAGGAAAAGATCTGGTAGAAATTGTACAAGCAATAGGGATAACCACACTATGGAGTGAATGGTGAAACAAAACTCATTCCAAAATGTGGGGGGAATTCACAAAGAGTGGACTGCAGCTGGAGTCAGTGCTTCAAGAACCACCACGCACAGACATATGCAAGACGTGGGTTTCAGCCGTCGCATTCCTTGTGTCAAGCCACTCTTGAACAAGAGCTAGCGTCAGAAGTGTCTCGCCTGGGACTGCTGCTGAGTGTTCCAAAATTATGTTCTCTGATGAAAGTAAATTTACAAAGTACATTTCCCTTTGGAAATCAAGATCCCAGAGTCTGGAGGAAGAGAAGAGAGGCACAGAATCCATGTTGCTTGAGGTCCAGTGTCAAGTTTCCACAGTCAATGATGGTTTGGGGTGCCATGTCATCTGCTGGTGTTGGTCCACTGTGTTTTCTGAGATTCAAGGTCAATGCAGCCATCCACCAGGACGTTTTAGAGACTTCCTGCTGCTGACCAGCTTTATGGAGATGCAGATTTCATTTTACAACAGGACTTGGCACCTGCACACAGTACCAAAGCTACCTGTACCTGGTTTAAGGACCATGGTATCTCTGTTCTTAATTGGCCAGCAAACTCACCTGACCTTAACCCCATAGAAAATCTATGGTGTATTGTGAAGAGGAAGATGTGATACACCAGACCCAACAATTCAGAAGAGCTGAAGACCACTATCAGAGCAACCTGAGCTCTCACAACACCTGAGCAGTGTCACAGACTGATCGACTCTATGACACGCAGCATTGCTGCAGTAATCCAGGAAAAAGGAGCAACAACTAAATATTGATGCTGTACATGTTCATACTTTTCATGTTCATACTTTTCATGTTCATACTTTTCATGTTCATACTTTTCATGTTCATACTTTTCATGTTCATACTTTTCATGTTCATACTTTTCAACTGGTCAACATTTCTAAAAAAATATTTTTTAATTGGTCTTAAATAATATTTTAATTTTCTGAGATACTGAATTTGGGGTTTTCATTAGCTGTCAGTTATAATCATCAACATTAAAAAAATAAACATTTAAAATATATCAGTCTGTAATGAATGACTATAATTATAATATACAAGTTTCACTTTTTGAATGGAATTATTGAATAAGTCAACTTTTTCATGATATTATAATTTTATGACTAGCACAGATAGATAGATAGATAGATAGATAGATAGATAGATAGATAGATAGA